AATGATAAGCTTGAGACATTTATAAATAAATGGGTGCACCTTGAGACCATACTCTCTCTCTCTCTCTCTTTTTTTTTGTACCGGGAATCAAACTTAGGACTTTGTGCTTGCGAGGAAGGTGGCGGAACCACTAAGCTAAATCCGCAGCCCGAGAACATAATCTTCAGTGAAATAAATCAGACATACATATTTAAATACCAAATTGTTTATCTGGTATGAAAAACCCAGAGTTGAAATAAGGACTAAAAGGTATAATAGATTTTGGGAAATGGGAAGAAAATGTTCAAATGGGAAGAGGAAGAAGGGAGGGAGGAGGGAGAAAGGAAGGAAGGGACAAGAAAAAAACTAAAAGCTGGAAAAAATGCGGTACTGGGGATTGAACCCGGGCCTTTGCACTTAGAGACAGGGTCTCATTAAGCCACTGAATTGCCCAGGCTGCACTCAAATTTGTGATCCTCTTGCCTCAGCCTCCAAGATTAGTGTGTGTGTGCGCGCATATGATAGACTGGGGATTGAGCCCACGGCCTTCACACTGAGCTACATCCCCAGCCTTTATTCATTTTTTATTTTGAGGTGGGGTTACACTAATTCACTAGCTTGCACAAATTGGGCTCAAATTTGAAATCCAGCATCAGCCTCCCGGAGTGGCAGGATTATAGCCCTGCGCTACCACACCCAACTGGATGTGACATTTTAAAAGGGAGTTGTTTAGTTGTCTTGAGTTAAAGCACAGGGGTTCAAACTTACATATCTGCTTCTCATCCAGGATGTTGTTGGGAGATTCCACGTTGAGTAAGACTTCAGTGGTTGCCATGGTGTGTGAGGTGGCCTCATTGTCATCTGGTTCCACATTTCATGAGGTGGGGGGGAGAAGAAAAGTTCCCTCAGGGCACAGTACAGCTGTAATCAGGGCCAACTCAAGCCAAGAGTGGTAAGAAGAGGAGACACAGGAACCCTAGGAACAGCCTGAGAGGGACCAGCATGCCTCATGTCCTAACCCCCCCCACACACACAGCGGCTCTCCACTCTTCCTCATCTAGAGAGCTGGAGTGAATTGAGCTGGTTCTCTCTTCTGTGAAGCAGCACAAACCTTTTGTTATAAGCCTTGCCCATTCTGAGTAGGGTTACTCACAGCCATCGTGGGCTTCCATTCCCCAAGACAGAAACCCTCTCTCTACCACACCTCCCCTGCCCAGAAAGGGAACAGACCTGCCAGCAAAAAACTGCCCTCCAGGATCTGGTCCTGCGTCATGCACAAGGTCCCGTCTGTTATAATGCCGTTGGGAACGTCGTCCAGCTCCAGTCCTGAGTACAGATGCAGTAATTCGGGGTAGGGTACCTGCTCCACGATCACAGCTGGGAACACCGAAGGGTCTTCCAGCTATGGAGGAGATAGGGATCTGGTTCAAGGCTACCCACCTCTTCCGGGAAGCCGCCCTCCCTATCAGCTTTTGGCCCTTTGGGCAATTCCTACTTCTTGGAGCCCTCAGGGCTTGAGATGATGTTGCTCTAAAGTCCAGCCTGGCTAGGTGATGCCTTGAGTGGGCTCTTGATTAAAAGAGATGGCCCACCTCTGTCCAACCTACACTCAATCAAAGACAAGCATTTGTGTGAATGGCACTGGGAACCAAACCCAGAGCCTTAGCCTGTTACACTGGCACAAGTAATCCCAGCTCCTTGGGAAGCTGAGAGGGAGAATCACAAGCTTGAGGTCAGCCTGGACAACTTAGGGAGACCCTGTCTCAAAATGAAACTTTAAAAAAGGATTGGGGGTGTGTAGCTCAGTCTTAGAGCACTCACCTAGCATGTGTGAGGCCCTGGGTTCCATCTCTAGTACTTGGGGCTGGGGGACTGTGCTGTACTGCTCAGCTATCTCCAAGGCCCGGCAAGCATGTTTAATTGGTGGGACTCAGTCGACGTGAAGGGTTAGGTTCCTTATGAGGCCAGTGGGAAAGCATCGGTTGATGGCAAAGGTAAGAGTAAGGAGTGAGCGACTCAGCCTAGGGTCATGGTTGGGGACCCAGACATTTTAGGGCTCAGTCTGTGGTGAAGAACTCAGAGCCATGCTAGAGGCACCAAGGCTGGAGCCAATCCCTGCCTGGATTGGGGAGAGGGTTTCACTGCCAGCTTGATTCAGCAGGTAATTGGGGTTACTGCTCACATTTAGGGTGGACCCAGGAGGAGGAAAATGAGGTATTTGGAGAAAGATAAGGGATAACGTCTAGATATGTGAGTTTGAGGTACTTTGGGGAGATCTAAAATGGAGGTGCATATCAGGGAGTCAGAAACAAATGTCTCAGAGCTCAAAAGAAAGCAGGTGGCCACTAAACCCCTCAGAGTAGAGAAGATAATCGGGGTGAGAATTCAGCTGCCAGAGAGCATCGTTGTTCTGAAATGAAGCAAAGTTAAATAAAAAAGGAGTGTAATCATATTTGTTTATTATTATTATTGGCAATGTTGGAGATGGAAGCCAGGGCCTCATGAATGCTAGGCAAGTGCTGTGTCACTGAGCAACACCCCAATCCTGTCTTTTTGTTTCACATCTTCTTTATTATGGCGTATTGGTTACACAGATGAGTGAGTTTCATTCTGGCAGATTCATACATACACATAATATACCTTGGTCATTTGCCCCCAAGACCTCCTTGCCTCGCCCTGCCCCCTGGTTTCATTTCAGTGAGTTTCAGTGCATATATTGTGATAATTCCCAGTCCCCACATTCATCCATTCATGGTGCTAGAAATCAAACTGCGGGCCTCATACATGCTAGGCAAGCACTCCACCACTGAGCTATACCCAGTCCTGGTGTTTGTGGGGGGGGTACATTGGACCCAGGGATACTCATTCACTGAGCTATATCCCTTTTTTAAAATTTTTGAATGGGGTCTTGCTAAGTTACCCAGGCTGTCCTTGAACTTTTAACCCTTCTGCCTCAGCCTCCTGAATAGCTGAGATTACAGATGTATACCACCATAGCTGACATTTTTTTTTTCTGGTACTGGGAATCGAACTCAGAACTTTGTGCTTGCCAGGCAGGCACAGCACCACTGAGCAACAACCCTGGCCCACAGCTGACATTTAAAAAACATCTAGATAAAAAGGAAATGTACCAGGATGTCGATTGTAGTTGTATTTTGCTTATTGGACTTTGGATGCTTTTTTTACCTCCCTTTTTTTAAAAAATAATTTTTATTTTATTTTATCCCATTCCCCCCTCAAGCCACCTCCCCTCCCTATGTACAAAAGCTTCGTTTCCATTTTTTTCCTTCTGTTTTTACTTTTTTCCTTGTCCCTTCTTTCCTTTCTCCCTCCCTCCTCCCTTGTTCCCCTTCCCATTTGAACACTTTCTTCCCATTTCCCAACATCCACTGTACATCTTATGTAGCTCAGTGGCACTGCGCCTGCTTGGCAAGCACAAGGTCCTGAGTTTGATCCCTGGTACCACAAAAGAAAAGGGTGTGGGGGAGTCCCTTTTTATTTTCCTGTATTTTCCAATTTTTCTTTCATGAGAATGTTAAATTTTTGTTCATGAAAAAAGACTGAGAATGGTCCTTCTTCTCATGTCCCCAAGGAATTTAGAAGCGTATAGATTGACTAAAGGCTTCTGGATTTAGCCACTGGACTGTTGCTTTGGCTGGCATGGTTTCAGGGGAGTGCCAGGGTCCCAGGCCAGGTGACATAGGGTTTGGAGAGGTTGGACTGAGGCAAGATCAGGTGTGTACTCAGGGTACGCTGTCTAGAGCTGCACTGCCTATGGTGACAGCCACTAGCCACTGGTGACTTTAAATTTAAATGGAATGGCAATTTTGGAAAAGTACAACTTCAGAGTTGGACATAGTGATGCACACCTATAATGCCAGCACTAGGGAGGCCGAGGCAAGAAGATTGTGAATTTGAAGCCAGACCTAGCAAGGAGAAAAAATGGAAGATAAAACTTCAGTTCATCAGGCGCACTAGCCACATTTCAAGTACTCTGTAGCAACATGTGATAGACTTACACTAGATAACCCAAATATAGAACAACATTGCTCGCATTCCAGAAAATTCTGTCAGATTGTGCTGATCTAGAGCCAGACTGCTTGAGCTTGAAACCAAGCTGGAGGCTGGGCGTGGTGGCACATGCCTGTGGTCCCAGCACTCCTGGTACTTGGGAGGCTGAGACAGGAGGATCACCATGAGTTTGAGGCCAGTCTGAGGTATGCAATGAGACCCTGTCTTAAAAAACAAAAAAACAATAAAAAAAGGAAGAAAGAAACCAAGCTAGGCTACTTACTAGTAGTTTGACCTTAGGAAAGGTTACCTATATTTCTGTGTATCACTTTTCACATTTATAAAACTAGGATACTCATATTATGGACCCTATAGGGTTGTTTAAACAGATATATACACATTATGCACTCAAAACAGGACCTAGCATAGAGTAAATTCTCATGGAGTGCTAGGTATTAAGGGCTTCTAGGAGACTATAAGGTTTACTTCTTAACCTGGGTCACAAGTACACTTGTGTTCACTTTATGGTCTATCTACCCATCAATGATTTATGTACTCTTTTGTATTCATGATAAATTTCACAATAAAAATTGTTTCCTAAGAAAAATGAAAGGATTAGATTATAGTCCCAGCACTCTAGGAGGCTGACGCAGAAGCATCGCAAGTTCAAGCCCCATCTGGGCAACTTAGCGAGACTCTGCCTCAAAATAAAAAATAAAAAGGGATACGGATGAGGGCCAAGGATGTGGCTCAGTGGCGCAGGGCCTGCCTGGCAAGTGTGAGGTCCTGAGTTTGATCCCCAGTACCACACACACACACACACACACACACACACACACACACATAAATAAATAAATAAAAAAGAAGGTGGTATTCTGACACAGTGGAGCAGAAAGGAGGGAAGGTTGTCTTTTAGAATTGGGGAGACCTGAGGCTGTTCTAATATGAAGAGAAAGATGCGGGAGGTCCGGGATATACAAGAGAAAGGAGGAGTAATCAGTGGCTTGAGATCTTTAAAAAAGGCAAGAGATCAAGTACAAGGGTAGGGAAAAGAAGAGGAATGCTTTTTTCTCCTATGCCAGTGAGAAGGACACAAGAATATGAGATGTTGTAGACAAAAAGCATAAAAGGGAGAAACTTCGGACACCCTTGGCTTTGGCCTTTTCTGGAGGTTGGGAGGAGAGTCTTCTTACTGCAGGTGGAGGATCACTTGGGAGATGAGAACAGCCTCTATGAAGACAGGAAACGTTGCTGAGCAAACTAGAAACAAGTGAAAAATGGCAAGTAGCACTGAGAATCCAGGTAAGCTTAGATTTTTCTTCCTTTCTCCTTCATGTGAAGCCCACCAGAAGTTTTCAACAAAATTGAGCAACCTTGGATAAGAACACGGGACTATAAGTACAATGCACCTGACTCCCATTAGAGGGCAGCCTTTGGTTTTTTTGTTTTTGTTTTTTGTTTGTTTATTTGTTTTTTGGGGTTTTTTTTGGTACCAGGGATTAAACTCAGGACCTTGCGCTTGTGAGGCAGGTGGTGGAACCACTGAGCCAAAATCCCTAGCCCTAGAGGGCAGCCTTTGGTAGCCCACCAGAGATTGGGCAGCCTTCTATCCTTGCAAGGATTTAGGATAGAGGGCATCATTTAGGCTGGGATGGCGTCAGAGATCATCCAGGCACATCTCTTGGAGAAGGTAGGGAGATGATAGGCAGATACATAGGAGACAGGGCTTGGCCAGGTGACTTTGTGGCCAAACTAGGATCAAAACCTAGGGTTCTCGATTCCAACTCTTCCATTCCTTCTACCATACCTGGCTGTCTCTTCTTTCTCTATTTTGTAGAAGGAGGGGGAATGGAGGGTAGTGATGCATGGTGCCAGGACTCCATCCAATGGGGACATCTAAGTGCATAGAAAATCTGACCTCTTTAGCAGCACAAGGAATGGAGGAATGGGTACCCGAATGCCAGAATGCTATCCTATTTTCCAACCTTCCGCTACAAGACCCCATGGCTTGAGGCTTCTCTATAGATTAGGAGGAGAGGCTTCTACCTGAACCCTTAGGCTTATCCTGAATCCTCAGAAAGAGGATGAAAAGACAGTTGTGAATGAATCCATCAACTGGACTAGAGCCAGGTATCTGAAGATGCCAGAGCTTGGACTCCATCCTGCAGTTTCAGCTGGCAGGGGCCCTCTTGGTTTTTTGTTTGTTTGGTTTTTTTCCCCCTTTGGTTTTTTGGTTTTTTTTTTTTTTTTTTTTTTTTTTTTTTGAGACAGGGTCTTGCTAAATATTCCTGGCTGGCCTTGAACTCACTCTTATTCCAAGATGGACTCAGACTTGTGGTAATCCTCTTGCCTCAGCTCCTGAGTACTGTGATTACAGGTGTGTGCCACCATGCCTAACAGGGGCCCTCTTGCTATGTGGTCATCCCTGCACCTTTCTCAGTGCAATAGTGCAGGTGAAGGAAATGATCAAAACACTTATGGTGATCAGAGCACACCTTGCAACTTCAGTCATTGTTGCTGACTGACCAGCTGATTATTTAGCAGCCTCTTGGTTTGTTGAGCAGCCAGCTCCCTGAATGACCATCTGATGACCACCGACAGGCTATATGAGTGAAGAGCTGGTGCGCAAGCTGCCTGACACATAGGTCCAGTGCTCTGAACATAGTAGGTGCTTGATCAATATATACTGACTGGATAGCCAGCCAGCCAACCCATTGGACTTTATTCTCTGGGACCATACCTGGTGGATGTCATCCATTCCGTTGCTTGCAAACTCAAAGATCAAGTCACTGGGCTGCAGGGTAATAGCCATACTGTCTGCTCCGAGAGCTGACAGCAGGATTCCCAAGCTCTCCGGAGCTGCTGTGCTTTGTGGGTGAAGAGATGCTTAGTGCCTCCCCCAGCCACGTAGAGAGCTGGAGTGGGTGGTGGCCTACAGCAGGTTCAAGGCTGCATACTGGGCTGGGCCAACCACAGGAGCGACCTAGGGAGAAGGGACAGATGGGGACCATGAGTAAGGCAGCTTCCTTGGTTCCATTGCCAGGACAGCTGGAGAACCTGAGGGACCCTGTCATGCCAGGCAGAAGACCAGTACAGGGCTGGTGGGAAGGGGAGGCCAACGGAGAAGAAAGGAAGCAGGGAAGGAAGGAAAAGAGAGAGTTCGCTGAATTGTTTTCAGCAGGAAGAAGCTGAACCTTAGTGCCAGTCAGGGTCACCAGCATCTGTACCTCTGGCCAGCCCCAAAGACATGCAGTGTCCCTCCCTCTCCCCACCCCCTTCTCCTGAAAAGGGTAACAGATAGAGGGCTTTAGGACTTATTTGTTTACTTATTTATGGTGTTACTGGGGATTGAACCCAGGGCCTTCACACTGAACTACATCCCTAGTTTATTTTGTTTTTGTTTTATTTTGAAACAGTTGTTCAGGCTAGGCTGTAACTTGCCATTGTCCTACCTCAGTTTCCCAGGGTACTGAGATTACAGGGAGGGTGGAACTATACTAGCTGACTTGGGGCTCTTTATTCTCAGTAAATGGCCACAGGAAATGGCAGGGCACCAGCCTGGGTGACCTCAGGCTGGGGTGATGGTGTAAAGAATCCCCATAACTCCTTTGACTTAGGAAAGAATTCACGGGGGTGTGAAGGGGACACAGGCCTCACAGGGTGCTCTGAGGCTCAGTGTACCTTGGGAGTTCGGTGGCCAGTTAGCTCCAAAGGGCAGAATCTCCTGAGGAAGAAGTGTCTCTCTGTGGAGGGCCAGAGTGGGGGGGCATGCGACAGGTGGGCTATATGCATGCCTTGCACCCCCTTCCTCTACCGCCTACCAGAGAGGGTGGTCCCTGTGAGGCTGAGGCATGTGGGTTTGTGCTCTTGGTTCAGCTTTGCTTTCAGTTTCAAGACTGAACTGTCACCCTGGGAACTTGTGAGGAGGGCCTTGGCTGGGGGAAGGGCAGAGGAATCTTCCCCATCCTCCGGGGCCAGCCGAGGCCCCTTTTCCAGGAAATCTCTGTCCACTGCAGCCCACACACGACTCTCTTCTCCTGATGCTCGCTCGCATGGCATCAGGGCCTCTGGCTGCTTCCCTGCCTCCACTCCACTGTCAGCGCCCTGTGACTGTGCTCGGTCACACCCTTGGCCACCCCCAAAGCCTTTGCTCACCCAGCTCCACCCTCCCCACTCCTGGGCCCCTGAACACGGCTTCTGCATTTCCAGGTACCACATCTTTGGCCCTTCAGGCGCACTTGGGGTGTGAGATGTGTTTTAGTGTGTGCATGTCTATGCCAACAGCCTGATTCAACCATGAAGAATTGGGTCCACCTACAATAGTCAGAGCGAATCACTTTACCCCACCTCTGAGACACGCCCTGGGCAGTGCCAGGGTGGTAAACCCTACCCTGGCCCAGAAAGAAATGAGGAACTTCAGAGAGGGGCAAAGGGAGGGAAGGGAGGGGGACCATGGGTGCCCTCCATGATGCCCGCTCTCCCCCACAGGAGACCCCGAGCCTCTCCCACTTCCTTTCCGTTAGCCCACAGGCCTGGCCCCGCCCTCTCTCCACCCCCAGCCTCGCCCCCACACCTTTCTAACCACCCCAGTAGAACAACTGGAGAAGTCACTCAGCTCAGGTCCTTTGTACCTGTGGGGTCTGAGTCACCCTTCTGATGAAGGAGAGTGCGCCAGATCCGCAGTAGGACCAGGGGAGGTGCCTTCAGACCAGCTTGTCCTCCCACTCCCCTTCCTGTGACCCTATCTCCTTGGCCTGGGCTCCTAAGCCTGGGTCATTTCTGCTTGGAAGGTCTGTCTCCCCTAGCCTAAGTGCCAGGGGGCTCTTAGGCCCAAATTCCACAGCTCTCTCCCCTCCCACAAGCCCTTCTGTCTGCCCCCAAGATCCTACTCATTAAATGAAGGTTGATCACTTTCACACAATTCCACTTTGTGTAAACAAACTCCTGCATCCATCTCTCCCCAGGGTGGTTCCACTATGGCCCCTTCCTTCCAGGTTTGCTGTCTCTTTGCTTCTCTTCACAGGCCAGTGTTTCCAATTTTTTTGCAAGTTTATTGTCGGTGCCCTTTGCTTGGGAAACGTCTATAGACCTTCCTTACCTGCCACATTGGACAGTGGCTTCCTTGGGGGCAGGGACCACTGTGTTGGTCATTGATAAAACCTTGGCACCTTGCACCCTGCTGGCTAAGTAGCCTAGACACTCAGTACCCGATTGTGGAATACATGCAAGAAAGAGGGGACAATAGAAAGCACAAACAAATAAATGGTACTGATCAGTCAGCATCTGTGAGTGCAGCATTTTCTGCGAAGTCTGTGACCATGAGTATAGGTGGGCATCCTATACTCTGTCACAGGAGAATGAGAGAAATACGCAAGCTCTGAGGTTATGTTGGTATATTTCTGTGTTGTTACCCGGTGCGTGATCTGTGCTCACTGTGGACGTGCAGCGTGTTTGCGTGTGTCCCAAGTGTGAAGATACGTGCATGAGAGCCTCTGTGTGTCAAAGGGCTGCCTGATCTGGCTGGCCAAGCCACAGGCTCCGTCATCAGTTCCTCCTCCCAGGCTGTAGTGGTGGCAGTGGCGGCCTGAGCTGCCTGTGAGAATGACAAGCCCCCACTCATGCTGGCTCTGGTTCAGAGAAGCTGCGGTGAGGTGGAGGCGGGCTGGGCTCACTGGGGTTCTGCTGGGCCCCCGCTGTTACTGTGTGTGTCCCAGCGAGAGAAGGCCAGCCCCAGAATAGGTACGGGGCCTGTGGGTCGTTGGGGCGAGAACCACGAGTTCACTGGGCTAGGGAGGTGGGGGAGACGGAGGGCGCCGCACCGGGTTGGATGGAACCCTTGACTGGCAGTGCACAGGGGAGAGGTCTGATGTGAGAGAGATGACCACCGTGGCCTAATTCACTGTGACTGCATGTTTAAGCACTGCATGGAGGACCCACTGATGTAGGTTCTCTGGCGCAAGGTTGTAAGGTCTTAGGATGCTGATCCTAGTGATCTCATACCGCCCCAGGCCTGAAGCTAAGGTGAAGGGGTATAAAGGGCTCTCTTGACAAAGGCTGAGAACCATCCCCCATGGAACCTTCCAGTTCGGAAAGCTTCCCCCTCCCACTTCAGATGTTTGAGGATTTGAAAGTGAGTGGTGGAGAGAGGCTCATTTGCATGTTCACTCACTCTCCCCCAGTCCCTTAAAATAACCTCCCTCTCCCAGGAACCTGAAACCAAAGAAGCCACCAGCACAGAGGCCCGCCCTGCCAAAGGCCAGAGGGTCCCACACCAGGGATCCCCTCGCTAGGGTCCTTCCAGAGCCCTCTGGCTTGGACACAGTTTGGGTGGCCTAAAACCCTGGACACTGCCTCACTGGCGAGTGGGGTTCAGGGGTCACACTCAGATACCTGCTTCAGGGAATGGAGTTATTTGGGAACCCTCAAATTGACTGGCAGCAAATTCCTCCCTTGCCCTGCCCCACCACTGCGCAGCTCACAGCCGGCTCCAAAGTCTACTCCCACTGTCTGTCCTAGCAGGGCCAAGAGTGACGGCTTTGTGAGGATAAATGGCCCCTGGAAGCTGCCATGCGTGAGTGTATGCCACAGTAGGAAACAGCAGGCCAAGGCATCTGCGTTCCCAGCCTGCAAATACACACCTCTGGCTCTCTGTGGTTCTGACTGCATTGCAAAACCAAAGCAAAATAGAAGTGGTTTGGGCTGCTTCTATGTCACCACAACTGAGCTCCCTTTAGAGGTATAGACCCTTCTGAGGGCTGCCGCTGGAACACATCAAGGAGTGTCCAGCACCCACCCATCTGGATGTCCTCTAGAGGAAACAGCCCCAATGTGAAAGCCACGTCCACAGTCTCCATGGAGTGCGTTTAAATCTACACCCGCTCAGCCGAGCCACTGGCTCTTACAGAATTGCTGGTAACACCCATGGCATTTTCACACATGCCAGGAAACATGGGAGCCAGATGGTCATCTGGGCCACACAGTGAAACTCTCCTCCAGTTCCTCGTCCCTCAGAGTCAATTCTCCTGAAATACCTCGCTCTCCATGAAACCTTTCTGGAATTCCCTGGAAAGGAAGTGACCATTTCCTTCATGCCATTTCCCACTCCCTCAACACTCCTCCCCCACAGCCACAAACAAAATGGAAACTACCCCAGGAGCAGCCCTGCCCCCAGCTAATAGACATCCACCAGTGAAGGTGCCTGCTGCACCACAGGAGCAGAGGCATGTATTTAACAGCCAGCAGGCCAGCGTCAGGGCTCCAGGCCATCTTCCTGGACAGAGCAGAATGAAGCCATCCATAGGTCTCACACCCACAATCTTGGCCCAGTTAGGGCTGGACTCCAATCAGCCAGCTAATCCTCTGTGTTGAGCAAGTGCCCAGTGCAGGGGCCCGCCCACAGCTATTTTGTCAGCTCCTTCTCCATCCCTTTCTTTCCACCGCCCCCCCTCCATTTGAGATGAAATCAGGAAGAGGGAAGAGGAAAAGAAAGATTTTGCAAGCTCTGTTGGTTGGGGTTTCTCTCTGCGTATTTACAAGAAACCCAGTTCCCTTCTTTGCCCCTGTCATTGCCTGATTCCAGCGAGAGCTTGTCACAACTCCAATGGCCAGGTGGGCTCAGAGCTTGTCCCTAGCTGCCCCCTTCAGCTGTCCTCTGCTCTCCTCTCAGTCCTGCCCTCCCATGTCCCAATCTGACCCAAGGCAGAAGGCCATTAAGGCTGCAGGAGATGGCAGGCCCTAGGAGATGTTCTCTTTCTCCTGAAGACTCATGGTTCACCCAGGGTATAAAGGGCCCAGGAAGCGGGGGTTGGAGTAGGCAGGAGGCAAGTGCTGTGCTGGCTGCATGCCCACAAGCAGGGTAACCCTGGAAACGTGGTCATCTTTCTGGGTTGTGGCTTCTGTCATCCTTCAAGTGGGTGAGAGCTGAGGGTAATCCAGGCCTAGTGGGGGAACAGGGAGTCTTGGGTGAATAAAGAGGATGACTAG